TTTATATTCTAGATCCTATATTTATATACTCGTTCTATTCTGTCTAGTGTTTCCAGTGCGCTGTGGTCGTGAGTGTAGTGGCCAGCCAGGTCGTTACACTTTAGTGGTATCAGAGCAGGTCGAGTCTAGTGGACACTCTTTGGGGGTGGTTCCTTTAGGCTTTTGTTGTGTTAACTCTGTGTTGTGCTGTCTTGTTGTGTCGTTTGTTGTGCTGATTGATGTGATGAATTGTTGTGTTATTAATTGTTGTTGGGTTAAGTGATAGTATACTGAAGATGTTGTTATTTTTTATAGACGATGACTAGAACCAACGAACAGATAGCCCGTGCCATAGAGATGATGGCTATGGCTATGCAGCAGCAAAATGCTTTTTTTGCTAGGATGAAAGCTGAAAGAGCTGTAGCTGGTGCAGCGAGGCCCACGGGATCATAGGAGAGCCGGGACCTAGCTGAGTTCCGGAAGTGTCATCCTCCACAGTTTACGGGAGATGCAGATCCAGAGGTAGCTGACCGCTGGATATGTGAGTTAGAGAAGATTTTTGCCGTTCTGGGATGTTCCCCAGAGAAGAGGTTGGCATATGCAGTGTATATGCTTGTGGAAGAGGTCGAGCATTGGTGGAGGGGCGCATATCAGATGCTTGTGGCGAGAGGAGTTACAGTTGATTGGGATTGCTTTCGGATGGTGTTCATGGAGAAGTATTTCCCGGAGAGCGTGAGGCACGCCAAGGAGGCTGAGTTCATGTGGTTACACCAGGGAGGCCTATCTGTATCGGAGTATGCGATGAGGTTCGAGCACTTGGCTCATTTTTATTCACAGGCTATTTCTGAGGCCTGGAAGTGCAAAAAGTTTGCCGAGGGTCTGAAGTATGAGTTGAAGAAGGTGGTGGTGCTTATGGCCATCACCGAGTTTCCAATCTTAGTAGAGAAGGCAAAGATTGTGGAGAGGTTAGAAGGGGGTAACCGTGTGATCAGAGCTGCTGAGGGACCAGCTGGGTCCAAGAGAGGAAGTGAAAGTCAGAGGAAGCCGTATGATAGGCCCCAGCCCAGCAAGGGGGTCCTGTCATTAGGCAACCTGCTGAGACTACCAGAGGAGGAGGACAGGGTGGAGGTGCTGCCCTTAGGTGTTACAGGTGTGGTGGATCCCATTTGATCAGGGATTGTCCACACACTGAGAGTAGATGTTTCAGATGTCAGCAGATGGGCCATGTGTCTTTTAACTGTCCCACCAGGAGTAGACCGGAGAGGAGTACTCAGAGGAGTGATGCGCATAGAGCTGATACCCAGAGGAGTAGTGTGCAGAGGACTGAGACTCAGAGGGGTGACAGACCCACTACAGCTGGTAGGGTATTCGCTTTGACGGGTGCTGAGGCTTCGACTTCTTCTGACCTAATGAAAGGGAAGGGCAAGGCTGCTGGTAAGGATGTGATGCTTTTGTTTGATTCTGGGGCTTCCCATTCTTTTATTTCCTATGCCTGTGTTGCTATGTTGGGAGTGTTTGTGTGTGATTTGGGGTTGAGACTGCTAGTGTCGACGCCCGCTTCTGCTTTAGTAGTCGCTTCTGAACTGTGTGTTGGCTGCCCTATTGTTGTGAATGAGAAGAAGTACAAGGTAAACTTGATTTGTTTGCCTTTGGTTGATATTGACATAATCTTAGGGATGAATTGGTTATCTGCCAATCGTATCCTTATAGATTGTGCCAATAGACGGTTGATCTTTCCACAGGAGGAAGATGAGTTATTGATTTCAGCTAGCCAAGCTGAATCATGGTTGAGGGATGGTTGACATCATCGTTCAAGTCGACCGTTACACTTGGCATACCAATATTTCTATGGGCTTGTCGTGCAGTCCTAGCCATATGGCCTGTCGCCCGATCAACTCCCCAAAATTCTTCCATCAAGTCATAGTACCTAATGGAAGACCCCCTCCATTAAGCTGCAGCGGGCTTCGCCTGCAAATAAAAACCATGATTATCACTCATAATTATTATGTTTCACTAATTCAATAAATCTCGAATGTTAAAACATTACCTGCAGCAGGTCATGCCATACTTCAGGCTCAGCTGTAAACCGTTTCGTGGACTCATCCCACGCAAATCCACTAAGTCCACTAAACAAGTCGTGAACCTCCTGCCATCTATCCTTCAGACTTTTTTGTCTATTTTTAACATTACTTTTCGTGATACCCGTTAATCTAGTCTGTCGGAGGACTTCAACAATATTATTGTATGCTTGGGTTGTCCAACTACCATCAACCCGATTGCCCAACCTAGCCTCGTCAAGCATGGCAGTCAATAAACGAAAGTCCATGTCATCAGTCCATTTGGTGACCTCGCGGACTCCCTATAGGATGGCGCCTGCCGAGCTGATTGAGTTGAAGGGTCAGTTGGAGGACCTATTGGAGAAGCAATTGGTGCGGCCGAGCGTTTCGTCGTGGGGTGCTCCTGTGCTATTGGTGAAGAAGAAGGATGGGGGTAGTCGACTTTGTGTGGATTACCGGCAGTTGAATAAGTTGACCATTAAGAACAAATTTCCTCTTCCCCGGATAGATGACTTGATGGATCAGTTGAGGGGAGCATCAGTGTTTTCTAAGATCGATTTGAGGTCGGGCTATCACCAGATGAGGGTGAAGGAGGGTGACATACCGAAGACTGTTTTCAGGACTAGGTATGGTCACTATGAGTATGTCGTGATGCCGTTTGGTGTGACCAATGCCCCTGCAGTGTTCATAAAAAAATAAAAACAAAGGTCACAGAAAATGTCCAAAAGAATCAACCAGTACTAGAGAAGGTTAATTTTTCCATTAATTTATGATTTTTTTTTTATTATAAAAATTTAAATATTTAGTTTTTATGTTGTTGTTAGGTATTACGCCACATGATATTGTAGAAGACACAAATTCTGAGGTGTTTCTTGTTCATCAAAGCATGAGAATATTGTTGTGTTACATATGTTCCATTCGTGGTTATCCTGAGTCAATGTTCACATTGGAGCGAAAACAAATTGTTGAAGGAGTTGAGTATCGTAGGTACTATGGAACATTGGTTACGACTGATGTTGGGAACCTTGTTTTATTGGGAAAATTTGCACCAAATGACTATGATGCTCAAGAGGATGTGTCTGCTTCATTGATTCGTCGACTACTAGCAGCAACGGGTAAAAAGATTTGTGACTACAACTACTATAATGTTCAAATCCTAGAGGAACAACTTGAAAAAACAATGAATCAAAATTTGGAGCTGGAGATGGAGGTTTGTATCTTAAATGAACAGATGGCAAATTTGACAGCTGGCAAGGAAAAACAATAACAATAATTGTTTCAAACATGTATCCTACTCCCTCGTAGTCAGTGGATATTTTGTTTCAATGTTAAGGACATGATAAATGTTTTTTGTTTGTTTTTTGATGTTTTTGCATAGGGTGGTTATTCCCTGTTTTGTTTGGTTTATCATATTCTGTATGTTTTTAAGTTGTTCCTTTTTCTAAAATGACGAATGTGTTATATTTATGATAATTGTTAAACTTCCCACTGAATTCACCGAACGTTGTCTTTATTTATTTATGCAGTGAACACTGAGTGTTTTAGTTATGTGCTGGAATTATTTCTCATTAAAAGACATATGTTACATATAATTACATTTAGTTTTGTTTTAACATGGACAAATTGATTCATATTTGATCGGAGTCTGGATGTTTAAATTGACTGCTTAAATATAAACATATTGTCTGTATAATTTGTGTTAATTTAATGTAGTCAAGTTGATTATAAACTAAGAATATAATTGTAGCGTCAATGATTACAAATTATAACACATAAACAAACTCATGTAATACAGTATCTGTTACAATAAAGACAAACAACATTACCCTTTTTGTACATATAGTATGTTCGGATCATGAGTAAAATAAAATTCAAGGACATCGTCAACCAAAAAGTTGTTTGAGCAGACGAACTCATACTATCCTGCAGCCATATACCTTTTATCACAAGTTTCCTTAAGTTCACATAAATATTGATTACCTTCTTCATCTTGTATGACTATTTTTTGTTGTTCATCTAGGATAAAATCTCTAACAACATCACATGGAATAGTCTACAACACCAACATTTTATAATTAGTCATCAAAAAAATTAATATTTAACAAAATTATGACTAGTTAATCATTTGGACAGATGCCTGCGAGCGGAGTTTTCAGGAGTTGAAGAGAAGGTTGACTACTTCTCCTGTGTTGGTGTTGCCGGATTCTGGTGAGCCCTTTGATGTGTATTGTGATGCTTCTCACCAGGGTTTTGGGTGTGTGCTGATGCAACACGGGAAAGTGGTGGCCTATGCTTCAAGGCAACTGAAGAACCATGAGAGGAATCACTACAAGAAAACTTGTCTTTAGAGACAAAATTTTTAGTCTCTAAATTAATAAAATTAGTTACTAAATCAATAAGTGACTAAATTAGATACCAACTATAGAAAGTAGCTAGCATGGCTCTTTGACATACCCAGAACGGCCCGTTCTCATACTAGAACGGGCCGTTCTAGGGTTGAAATTTATCCACAAAGCCCAAAAGTGGAACGACCCATTCTGATTTCGCATATTTCTCATAAAATGCATTTTGAAACGGGCCGTTCCGGGACCGTTCCGGGTTCCACTGTTAGCGAAAATACCCTGCATAATCGATTATGCTTGGCACATAATCGATTATGGCCTTGCATAATCGATTATGTAGCCAACCATAATTGATTATCCTCCTTCATATATATCAAATGACATGAAACTAACCTTCAATGGAGGAGCTCCTTCCACAATCACTCACCACCAACACGCACCAGCCACCACCAGCCACGCACCAGCCCGTGAAGAACGTGAGCAACACCAACCGAAATTACTCAACCGAAATTCTGTCCAGAATACCACAAAGAGAGCTTCCTCTTATATTATTATTTCAAACGCAACGACAAAGCCCCTTCAATAATCCCAGTCAACAATGGCAGAGATTCCTGCCAGTATGCATGCATGAGACAAGGACGGTTCGTGAAATGGCAGAGATTCCTCTGCTGCATGGCACATGCATGGGAGGGGCATTTTCGGATTTTCACAAATCCTACGTGTCTTTCACCTCCTTTTTTCCCTTTTGTGCGAGGAGAGCAACAGTGCTTCTCCTCGCTTTTCTTCGCCTTTCCTTCGTTCTAAATCAGGGGAAACAAACGGATATTTTCCACGCCTTTCTTTACTCGTGAACAATACTTTCCTGGAAACAAACACTACCGTAATGTTTAATTTTTGCATGTCACATCACTTATTAAATCATATGTTAGGTCACATCATATGGTAATTGCATATCATATCACTTACCAAATCATATGCTAAGACCCGCCATGTGGTAATTGCATGTGATATCTCACTTTAATTGGTTGTTGGATTCGGAAAGTATTGTCTCTAAAGTAACAAATTGTTAATATATTTTTAAAAACGTAAATTTATAATTATATTAATTTGAAATTAAAAATATGTGTGATTAAAGTGATACTACTAATATATATTCAAAGACTATAAAGACTATAAAAATAATAAATAGTTAAATTTAAAATTTTATTTAACATTCTATTGATTTATTTAACAAAATTTTTAATTTTAAAAACTTGTATAATAATATTTTACAAATTCAAGAACTAAAATAAATGTGTATTCTTAAATTATGTTAAATTTGTTATGAAATATATATAACTGAGTTAGTCAAACTTTCAAAATCAAAATTATAAAGATCTAGTAAAAAAATATTAATGAAGCTGATTTAAACTTTGAAATAATTGAGTATTAGAGTTAGTCTAGTGGTTGGATGGGGAGGGGTTAAAGTAGTCAGAAACATGAAGACCTAGGTTCAATCCTCATTACAACTATTTTTGTAATCTTTTCTATCTTTAAAAAAAAAACTTGAAATAATTGGTTCACTATAAAAAAGACTTCTTATTTTTATTTTAAAATAATAATATGATCATGATTGATTTAATTTTAGTCTAATATTATGATAACTGAAAGTTATATTAACTTTATTTATTTAGTTTATAGTTATAATTATGATATTATTGTGTATTGTTAAAATTAAAAATTAAATGTTATCACTGGTTTACATTTTTGCAATCTTAAAAGTTAAATCCAAAAATGGCATGCAATTCATTTTCTAAAACAAACAGTTTTTTTTTTTAAATACTTTTTATTTATACAATTAATAAAAATAGAATATGTTTATTTATTAATAGTTAAAATATCAATTGCATAAAAAATCAAAATATTATTTAATAATTAGTAAAATAAAATATGGATTAATACTCGTATTGTGTTAAGAAAATAAACTTAATTAATGTATCAAAAGGAAAATAAAATTAATTAGAATTAATGTATTAATATTATAAAACTTTTTCAAATTCATATTTAATTATATATTAGCACATATAATAAGTTTTATTTTATTTGTCTTAATGATTATTTTTTAAAAACATATATTTAAAATAAGTTTTAAGTAATTGAGTGTTTAATTTTTTTTTTTTTTGAAAGTGTGCATGTTTGATAAATATTTTGTTAGTTTTAGTTAATTTTCCAAGTTGAATTTTGTTTTGATCAAATACACCTGTTTTTTTTAGGGTTGGTCTAATGGAGATTATGGTAATTTATGCATTTTGATAAGTTCTAACATTGTTTAACCATACGAGTAGTGTTCGATAAACAAACTTATTTTAATAACTCGTGCTATTTTTTTCTCACTATTTTAAGTAGCATTTTTTAACTTTTAGA